GACACATGTTGATGTAGAAGAGACATGAAGAAGAGGGGACACATGTTGATGTAGAAGAGACATGAAGAAGTGGCTTTTGCATAATAGGTGACCTTTAAGTATTGTTTTACTTGTTATAGTTAACAATCTGAATGCTCTTCTCCAGAGCGCCCCCTGCAGGAGCCCATCACCTGGCGCCAGACTTCAGCTCAGCTCTCCGGCTGGTGGAAACAGAGCTGGCAGAACGCACTGACCAGGTCTGGGTTATAGGGGGCAGCTCTCTCTACAAGGTAACACACTGAAGTCTGGCAGTGGCTCAGTCAGTAGGGGCTTGGACTGTGAGCCGTACGGTTGCTGGTTCAAGTCCCCGAACCTAAAATATGGAGTGTGGACTGCTACTTGGAGAGGTCCCAGTTCACCTCCTGGGCCCTGCCGTGGTGCCCTTGAGCAAGGCATCGGACTACCCCCCCACCCCCATTGCTCCCCGGCTGTACAATAGCTGCCCACTGCTCCTAGTACTAGACTCCTGGTACTAGGATGGGTTAAAAGCAGAGAACACATGTCACTGTGTGCTCTGCATTAAAGAGGGTTTCATCCCTCAGATTCTATCTATCTATAAATGTTTTGGCATGTTTTAAAAATCTGTAAAAAAAGAAAGTCTCAGTATTCCCCATACAAGCTTTAATTGTTTTTGTCATTTTATTTGGGTTGAACATTTAGTGGGAAACTGCTACAGATATTGACCTTTTTCAAAAAGGGTTTCGTAGGGTTGATGGAAAATAATAGCTCAATAATGATCCAGTTTATCATTTTAAAGTTATACTATATATATATATATATATATATATATATAAGGACTTCTGTTTATGTTTTTTTTTTGTTTTCTTTCTGTTCTGATTTTATGTATTGCGTCTTTGAGCATAAGGAAAAACGCTATAAAAATCCCATGTAGTGGTGTTGTTATTATTATTATTATTATACTGGTTACAGCTATGAATAATGGTCATGGTTAACATCTTTAGGATGAGCCTAACTTTCAAACACTTTTGTACACACAGTCTTCGTCTTTCTGTAATTATTTGTTGGTTGCTTTGGGCTACCCAGGAGCTGATGCAGTTCCCAGGGACCAGGAGACTGTTCATCACACGGATCATGAAGCAGTTTGAGTGTGACACCTTCCTCCCTGAAATCAGTCTGGACAAATATCGTCTATTGCCACAGTAAGATTCAGGTTTATTCATTTAAGATATATTTAGATTTTTTGATGTTGAACTAACTAGTTCACAATGTAAAACGTCATTTGCCCAGCAGCTTTTCAAAAGCATATTCAAACACATGTAAAAAATCATGGTATCAAGCCCAAATGTATATTTTCCAGTAACATCCCTTGAGATGGGTCTTATTTAATTTCACCTTGCTTTACAATATTTAATTTTACATTCTGTTCTTGTATAAATCATATTCTATTTACGTGTATATATACTTCATGCACTATTTTTTATTTGTATTTTATTTTTGCATCGTTTGAGGAGCTCTGGTCATAACATTGCCATTTCTACACTGTAGCGTATGTGCATATGACAATAAAACCTTTGAACAAAAGGTTTGTCACTGACAGCCAGAGGTGGAGGTATGAGGCCAGATGTTGTACTTGAGCAAAAGTAGAAGTACTCAGATCTTGTACTTGAGTAAAAGTAGAAGTACTCAGATCTTGTACTTGAGTAAAAGTAGAAGTACTCAGATCTTGTACTTGAGTAAAAGTACCAGAGTGTAGCAATACTCTGTTACAGTAAAAGTCCTGTATTCAAAATGTTCCTCAAGTAAAAGTAGAAAAGTATTCTCATCAAAATATAGTGAAAGACAGTAAAAGTAGTCGTTGTGCAGATTGGTCCATTCCAGAATAATATATATGATATGTTTTATAATGATTGATCATGAAAGTGTTCTCAAAGCTGGTAAAGGTGCAGCTAGTTTGAATGACTTTGTATACTGCAGGGTAGCTGGTGGATTTACTCCAGGTGGAACTAAAGTCTGATTCAACACTTGATTAGATTTCATATCATTCATCCACATCTGTGAAGTAACTAAAGGTATTAAATACATGTAGTGGAGTAGAAGTACACCATGTACCTCTGAACTGTAGTTTGGTAGAAGTACAAAGTAGCAAAAAATGGAAGTACTCAAGTAAAGTACAAGTGCCTCAGAATTGTACAATACAGTACTTGAGTAAATGTACTTAGTTACTATACATCTGACAGCTTGACCGCTGAAATACCTATATTCGATTGAATACACTCTACAGACCAGGGGCCTCATTTATAAACGTGGCGTACGCTCAAAAGACGGCGTACGCCAATTTTTAAGCAATCTTTGCGATTTATAAAAAGCAAACTTGACGGGAGGATGTACCCCCACTCTTTCTCTTGGCATTGTCTTCCTGAAATAAGCAGGGACGTCCCTGAAAACGTTTATGTACCTTTCAGCATTAATGGTGCCTTCACAGATGTACAAGTTGCCATGGGCACTAACACCTAGGGATGGGTACTGAGCCCGGTATTAAACGGGCCCCGGGGCTGAATTATTAAAGACCGTGGTACCGTTAAGCTCCGACGTTATCGCTCTTTTTATCGGTACTGGAGACATGTACAAAATATACGTCATATGTATTATTGCTACATAAACATCATATTGCAGTTTTAGTTTCGCCAACTCCGTTTCTAATACGCAAAAATGACTGCAAAATGCGTCTATGATGTATTTTCGATCTTTCCAATCCAGGCGAGATCTCTCTCCCCCGTCTGTGTGCGACGGGGCGGGGCAGTTTACACACACGCAGCTGCTACATGCAGCAACACACACACGGTGGAGATAGCGGAGAGAACTAAGCGCTCCGAAGTGTGGTTAAACTTTATCCGTCTCGATGTGGACAATGCTCGTTACCAAAAGTGCAATAAGAGTTTTCGACTGTCTTTCTAGTAGCTCTGTAGCCCCATCCACGAGTAACGTTTCCACGTCAGGTGTTATGTATGCTAGCAGCAACACACGCAGTTAACTACATTATACAAACATGGGTTAATGATTAGAGGAAACTGAGTTATTTATTTTGTGAAAGTTTCAGCTATTCTGTTTACAGTTCCGTCATCAGATTATTTATAATACGATTTGTTAAAACATTGTCGTTTCTTTTGATGTGAAATATTATTTATTTTATTTAAATAAAAATCAATGTTAGTTTTGTTCACAATTTGTTTAAATGATTGATTGATATACTTTATTAATCCCCGTGGGGAAATTGTTTCTCTGCATTTGACCCACCCTAGTGTTAGGAGCAGTGTGCTGCCATTTTGAACGGCGCCCGGGGAGCAGTGTGGGAAACGGTGCCTTGCTCAGGGACACCTCGGTAGCACTTGGTCTTGCCGAGACTTGAACTGGTGACCTTCCAGTTGCCAAGCCAAGTCTCTATCGACTTCGCCACCACCGCCCGTTTAGTTAGTTTACCTTGTTTTTTCTCTCCAAAAGTACCGTTAAAGGACCGGATCGATAAGCGCTATCGATAAAAGTAGTAGTACTGTTAAAACCTTAACGATACCCATCCCTACTAACACCCCCCCCCCCATACCATCACAGATGCTGGCTTCTGAACTTTGCGCTGATAACAATCTGGATGGTCCTTTTCCTCTTTACCCCGGAGGACACGACGTCCATGAAAAACAATTAGGAATGTGGACTGATCAGACCACAGCACACTTCTCCACTCTGTGTCAGTCCATCTCCGATGAGCTCAGCCCAGAGGAGCCAGAGGAGTTTCTGGGTGTTGTTGATATATGGCTTTGGCTTGTAGAGTTGTAACTTGCACTCTCACAAGCTCATCTCTTAAGCTGCCTTTACATGATCAGCAGTTAAACTGCTCTGCGCTGGCAGTTCCATTTTGGTTTCATAGAGAGTGCGGTGCTGCCCTACTAGGCGAAGGCGCTGCCCTTGGCGTCACACACGCTCCAAATTGTCGGCGAGCACTGGGCTCAGATCAAATTATTTAAACTTTGAACCATTTCTGTCAACAACTGTATAAAGCAGCAGGTGAGGTAACCATACAGGAGAAACGAGACTTGACGTGTTTTACTGCCTGCGCCCTGCTTTGTGGCGAGTAAAAGGGCAAATCGTATCATGTGAAGGCAGCTTTACACATGCATGTACCAGATGAGACGTAAAGTAAATGTTGCCTCTCCTTCAGGTTTCCAGGAGTGCCACACGAGCTACAGGAGGAGAATGGTATCCAGTACAGATTTGAAGTCTATGAGAGCATTGATGAACTATGCATTTGAACAAATAAAACCAAACAATGTTAATCCTAGACTTTGAGTTATTTTATTTGTAGTTGTTTACAGTTGGGGGAATCTAAAAAAACACCTGTACTGTTTGTTTGGGGTTATCCTTATGATGATCATAATTGTGTAAATATGAAAGACCATCTGAATCTTCAACAAATCATAAAATCAATACTGATCTTGAAAAATATATTCAAGAAGTGCTTTGCTCCTCTTGGGATTCAAAGAGTCTTTGCATGCATTTTCAATCAAGACACTACAGTCCACATGTCATGTGCAAAAGCTGCTACAAAAAATCTAAGAAAATATCTAAACAATCTCCCGTTAAAGTACATTTTGAGGGAAAAATCGTTGAACTCAGGCCACGTCGGGACCACTCTGGAGGCCTGGCTGGAGTGAGGCCACGTCGGGACCACTCTGGAGGCCTGGCTGGAGTGAGGCCACGTCGGGACCACTCTGGAGGCCTGGCTGGAGCGAGGCCACGTCGGGACCACTCTGGAGGCCTGGCTGGAGTGAGGCCACGTCGGGACCACTCTGGAGGCCTGGCTGGAGGGAGGCCACGGCGGGACCCCTTTACATGCCGGGCTGCAGGACGGCGAGGCGGCTCTGGAGGATGGGCTGGAGTTGAACTCGGTTAATTAATTTACTCCTAAATTCAGCAACTAAAAGAGACGCAGAATCTTAGTCCAACTTTACAATGAAAAGTGGAAAATGTTAAAATGGTTTAACTGATTTAGTTCAGATTATACAATTTCAAGCATTTGTTTTGAAAGACTTCCATTTTTAAATTGATAATAAAGTTAAATAATCTAAATCAAGCTTCAATTCAACAATTAATTAATTAATTTGTACTTGGAGGTAAGTTCATTATTACTATTACAAAGTTTTCAATTGAAAAGGTCAGCATTTAATCAATGGGCTCTAAAACATATTTTGCGATACTGTTATTACAAAAGGGGGTGCACTTACTCCTAATTGACAAGATTAAAATGAGCTTCTTAGCAGTTAATACAGAGATATTAGGGACAGTGCCTGTAGCAAAAGCACAACACATACTATTTGACTCAACGGGCCCCGAATAGGCAAAATAGTTTATTTTGGGCAAGCAGGTAACCAATAACAACGACATGGCTAATGCTGAGCGTCTATATGAGTTCAGTATCAGCTAGCGGTTTATACTAGTTTAAACTAACGGATTACATAATAATCTTACTGGGAGGCTTTTACTTATACATTTCATTTATTTAGAGTTTTACGTTATATTTCCAGGTTAATTTTGAATATATATCATTTAATTTGTATTTGTCCCGCTCATGGTACGCAAAACCAAATGTACAATAATTGCCAACAAAACATGACTACCAAAACACCATTGAGCGAAAAGGAGCAGGGAGAAGAATACAGTCTCATGTGACCTGCCCCTTTCTAAAAAAATAAATACAAATAGATGGTCTGCCCTTCATAATGTTTTTTTTACAGCCAAACATAACAGTATCTTAGGATACTAAGAGAAACACAAACAAATACTTATTTCCCACTTGACGGTTAACGGAAATAAACAAAACACCAAAACATCACATGTATAAGGAAAAGAAAAGTGCAACACCCTCATCTGAGTCCTACTGGAGAAGAAGGTGGAAAGCGGTGCATGATAATAACAATAACAACAATAACAATGGGACCTGCAAATAAAGAACAGACATCACATCAAAAACATTTAGCAATGCAGGACCAGAGTACATAGACTTATTCACATTCTGCTTCATATAGTCCCATCTTTCTTCATTTATACAACTTCTTTAACTGAAAAATACATATACAAGTCTTTAGATCCTTGTGTTGAGAATTTCACAATTGTACACCAACCACCGAAATACACATTTGTTTAAGAGTAGTCCTTGCATATGGATGCTTAACATTTAATTTCCTTCTGTGGTCTTCCTTGTCTGATCCAAAAACAAACAACTGTTGTAAATATGCTGGTAACATTCTGCTTTTTGCCCTGTGCATTACTGATAATGTCTGCAGCTCAGCTGTCTTTGAGTTCCAAGAGTCCTGACTTAAAAAACAGTCTGTTGGTGTGTTCTCTTGAGTCAGCTTTATGAATTATTCTTACTGCCTTTTTCTGTAATATTGACAATGGCTTTATGTTGCTCATATACGTGTTGCCCCACACTTCTATACAATACATGAAAAATGGCAAAATGAGTGAACAGTACAACATCCTCAATGCCTTGTAATCTAGCAAATACTTTGCCTTGTTTAGAACAGAAATATTCCTAGACACTTTGGTTTTAACATGTGCTATGTGTGATTTCCATGTCAGGTTTTCATCCAGCGTCACACCTAAGAATCGAAATTCAGAAACCCTTTCAATAAAAACTCCATCAATGGACAGTGAAATGTTTTCATCTTTTTTTCTATTAGCAAAAACCATAAACTTCGTTTTATTCAAATTTAGGGTTAACTTATTTTCATCAAACCATCTTTTAAGTTTGACTATTTCATGTCCAATACACTTTGCTAAAATGTTTAAATCATCTCCTGAACAAAATAAATTAGTGTCGTCTGCAAACAACACAAATTGCAATAATGTTGACGTTTCACATTTGTCATTGATGTACAAAATAAAAAGTTTAGGCCCTAAAACCGAGCCCTGCGGGACACCACATTCTATGTTCATACACTCCGATGTACTACCAGCAAATTCTACATATTGTTGTCTGTTATCTAAATAACTTTTTAACCAATCTAGAAATACTCCTCTCACTCCGTATCTATGTAATTTTGAAATTAATAGGTAATGGTCTATGGTGTCAAATGGCTTTTTTAAGTCAATAAATACACCTATTGTGTATTTCTTTCTATAGCTGTTGTAATTTCTTGTTATTTTCATGAAAGCTAAAGCTGTAGATCGATTCTTCCTAAATCCATACTGACTCACTCAATAACTCATTTTTTTCAAATAGAATTATCACATTTTTGGACAAACAATTTCTCAAGGACCTTTGAAAATGTGAAAGCAAGGACACTGGTCTGTAGTTGGTAAATTGGCTTTTGTCCCCAGTTTTAAAAAGTGGGATAACTTTAGCTATTTTCATGCTATCTGGAAAAATACCTGAAATGAAAGATTAAAGATGTAGCTTAGCGGTTTAATTATGCAGTCAATAGTCGTTTTCACTATTGTCATGTCGATCCCATCACTATCTGTCGAAGTCTTATTTTTGCATTTGTCTACAATGGATCTAATTTCAATTTCGTTTATCTCTCCCAGAAACATTGACTGCAACACTTTACTTCCCCCAATTCCGCCATCCTCTTTTTGCCCATCGTGTTGTTTTGGAATAGTCTTTGCAAGATTAGGTCCGACATTTACAAAACAAGAGTTGAATTCATGAACCACTTCATTCATGTTTTTTACAACCTTAGTCATCAATGAAGTGACTGGGCAGGCCAGTGGATACAGATTTATTTCACATAACATTATTTAAGATTTTCCATGTGCCCTTGATATCATTTTTCTTTTCTTTTAACATATTATTATAATCTCTTGTTGCTTGTCTCATTAGAACTGTCAATTTATTTGTATATGCCTTGTATTGCTTTTCAACTGCCTTTGTCCTAAATGTTATGAAGTCTTTATAAAGGTTATTTTTCTTCTTGCAAGCATTTTGTAAGCCCTTGGTTATCCAAGGCTTTTGATGATAAGTAGGCCTACCTTTTATATGTACGGAGTACAGTGGGACAATGTTTGTCATGTAGATCTTTAGGAAGGACTTAGAAAGGATATTTCACTGAAAGACGCAACAGAAATGTTGCCGAAGTATGTGGCGTGTAAAGTATACTTTAAAGAAGTTTTCAAACAGAAAAAGACAAGAAAGCGTACCTGTCAACCCAAGTCTTCGCTAGCGATACACCAGCAAACGAGCGACGAAGTGGTGGGGTAAAAACTCAGTTGAAAGCGAAAAACACACGAATGAATACTGTCGGGTAGTAATAAAAGACACATTGCACACAAATTCTCTAAGAAAAATGGCTTATTATGTCTTGTTAACACTGTACAGTGACAGTCTCCGGAGAGCCGCTGTTTCTCTACGCTCGGACAGCCCGCCCACTCCAAACACTCCATTGGACAGTAAGACTGTAGACTTCCAATCACATGCGAGTACAGTGACTGTAGACGGTTAACCCTTCTGATTTGCCAAACGTCTACAGTCGGAGTCCCCCCTCCAAACTCCATTGGACAGTACGACTGTAGACTTCCAATCGGATGGAAATGACTGTCCAATTAGAAGGCTTAACTGTCTACAGTGACTGTTGTTGGTTGCAAGAGGATCAAATGCAAATCAATGTATGTCTCTTTCATTTTTTGTAAAGCACTTTGAATTGCCTTGTGTTGAAAAGTGCTATATAAATAAACTTGCCTTGCCTTGCCTTATGTCTCTTACATGATGTACATTTCTGGATATTCTGTCTCATTATTAAAATAAACCTACCATTAAAATTATAGACTGTTCATTTCTTTGTAAGTGGGTAAACTTACACAATCGGCAAGGGACAAATAATAATTTCCTCCACTGTGCATGTGATCACATGTGAATAACTTTGGATTTCAAAAAAAGTGGCAAAAGGACAGGTCCGACCTGTCGTAAAAAGTGAAAACATTTACAGTAAAAAAAAAAAGTGGTAAAACAAGTCAGGTCCGGAACTGTCAACAAATCACAAGGCAGAGCACATCACAGTAATGCTGGGTCATGACAGAGGTGGAAAAACCTTGACACTTTGCTGACTTTATTTAAGAAAGGGATCTGAAAACTATTCTGTTACTTATATGAAATAATAATAATACATGGTATTTTTTATAGCGCTTTTACAGGTGCTCAAATCCGTTCTCAATACTGTGGACAATACCCACAGGAGCAATTTGGGGCAAAATGTATGCCCAAGGCATGCGACTGCAGTGTGTGTCAAGGGGGGATTGAACCGGTACTCCCTGATCTGAAGATGAGCGCACTAAACCACTGAGCCAACTGCCGCCCCAAAATAGTTTGGACTTTTGAGGACTACTAACAAAATGCCATGCTAACTTCTTCCTATTTAAATAGAATAACAAGACATCAATAATGTATGCCAGTTTTCACCTTTTTCTGAATCCAGCTGTTACAGTTTATTTCAAACTTTTGTGGCTAGTTGACATTTTGTATCATTAGCTAGGCCTACTCCTTACCTCTTACAAAGCCATTCCCCCCCCAAACAAAAACACACTGACATCGGTCTTTTGTCAGCATTAGGCGGTGGGACAAATGACTTTTATAAAAATAAAAACAGGGATTTGGAAGTGTTGTAATTTATTAACATAAAAAAACTACAATTATGCTCTCTGCAACGCCACCAGACTTCATTTTCCATTTTCAGAATTTTTGTTCAAACTTTAGAGCCCAGAAGAAGTATATTGCTAGGCCTAAACTAAAATGCAAAAATCATAAGAATAATTTCTGCAGATAAACCAACTATTGAGTTATTTTCTTTCTCATCTATCTAGCTTTGGCCTGCTGCAGCGAGACCATTTCAAATATGTTTGTCTTGTCGTGTCATACTGAGCTCTGTCCTTTGGGAGTCTGGCAGGTCATAGTAGATCCTACTGATGTCAAATTCTTTTCTGTAGGGCAGTAAGTCCTGAAGTATTAACGTATCCTCCTGGCCCGTCCATACTGTTAGAGTGTACCTGTGTAGAACATGATAAAACATAAGCATTTATTAAATAGTAGGTTTGTGCAGTTGAAAAATAATAAACACAATGATATCTTCTATCACATAAACTGATCACTTAGTTGAGCAACTACATCATTTCACTATATATTTTAGTTTTGTAATTCTCAATATTTGTGACAAATGGAACTCCTTGTGTATTTGAAAAATGGCGTGCACAAGAAATGTAATAAACAAGAACACTGGTTTAGTGTCAAGATGTGCAATTTGGACATGTTAGTACACTTTGAATAGAACATGTAAAAACTAGCATTGCTCCTGCTGAATAAATGTCAACTAAAAAGAATTCCTCCTGATTCTACTGACTCTAAAATTACCCAAAAACATGCGGCAATGTTGCTTGGCCTTTTTGCATGAAGTAAATGTTGTTATTTTCTTACCAGAATGCGTTGTTTACATGTTAAAACAAAAAAACATTTGAGTGTGCGTCACTGTGGAGAACAGGCGTTTTCAAGACTCTTAAAAAAAGACCCCCCCCACCCATCTATAATGGTTCCAACGAAAACATTCTGTAGCCTGAATGGGTAAACCCTGTCTATACATCCGGCCTTGCATTAGACTTCTCCGACTCCATTCTTCTGTCTGCATTGCACACATTCATTTGTTGTTTCAATGAGCAGTATTTTATCTCATTTGACATTTTTAGCTCATCTTATTCTATTTTACGTGCATATATTTCACTTCTCCTGCATTACTTGCAACATTATCTTGCACTATTTTATTTGTATTGTTTTTTCTTGCACTATTATTGTTTTTTTATTTGTTTTATTGTTTTATGTCTTATATATAATTATGTTGCATTGTTGGAAGAGCTTGGGACGTTTCATTGCCATAACAAAAATGTAGCTACTGTGCATATGACATAAAGCCTTTGAATCAGAATTTTGAATTTAATTTGAATATAGTGCCTTGCTCAAAAACACCATGACAGTTCCCAGGTGACATGGCATTTCTTAAGTAAGCAATTCAACCTCAGGTTCACACACAAGTTTCAGATAACACACAGGAGCTAGAAGACCCACCTGCTTCTTTTAAATCAGCTGTGTGGGAACATTTCGGGTTCCCTGTGGACTACAATAACGATGAAGTGCGAGTGGTGGATCGGACGAGGACGGTGTGTCGGCGGACAGCGGTGCGGTATGCTAATGGTGACACACGCCAAACATGCTAAATCATATCAGAAGGCATCACCCAGATTTGCCAATCACCGGAGCCCAAAAGACAACAGCAGTTCAACAGCTGATCCCCGCTGTTTTTAAGAAGCCAAGAGACATGAGAGCCGAGAGACCAAAATAAATAACGGAAGCTATTGGCATATGTTTTTCAACGACTTTGCGCTCTTGAAACACTTTATATAATATATATTATTATTATTATTATATATATATATATATATATAATTTATATTATATAATCTGGGCATCTGAGTGTGTGTGTTACTGTTTGTGGTTTGTTTGTAACTGTGTAATACAATTAATTATTCAATATGTCAGAGTTCCTTATTTTGAAACTGAAACTTGCACTACTGTTCAAAAATAAATAACAACAAACCTGGAATTATGCATTTGGGACTTTTTTTGAGCTGTTCCTTGTTGTACCGAACCCGTACCGAACCGTGACCCCAAACCGAGCTACGAACCGTGACTTCTGTGAACCGTTACACCCCTACCTGTGTGACTGCTGCAGTAGCCATGTGAGCTGTGAGAGCGATTGGGCCAGCAAAGCTGCACGCACTGCGAAGGTTACTGGATGTTTAAGGTCTCTACAAATCTCCTCCATCACACGCACCATATTCCAGCTGTAACCTGAAAATATTAAAACAAAACAAATCAAAAGGCAATTTATTTGAGATGTAACTATGTTCTAATATATGTTATTCATCTGTGCTTATAAAGATATCATTATGAAAGCATAACAAACATGTGAGTTTGGGCCACGCGGTTGCAATACGTAACCCATAAACAGACAAACTGTAGTGCAGTCAAACTTAAGACATGACTTACTTAGGTACTTAACAGTATTTTAATAGCCAACTCACATATTCAAACAGTATATTTCCAATGCCAAAGATAATTATCCATCAGGAGATCTTTTAAAGAAAATTGAAAAAGCTACTTGCAGTATTCACACACTATAATTTGGTAGAGCAACCTTAAACTTCAACAAAAGCCTGAAGTATCTTTGGGTAAGTATCTACCGGGTCGTTAAAGTGATTTCCGACCATGACCTCTGCAGATCTGCTCCAGGTTGTTCAGGTTGGTTGAATGATGCTTGTGAACCGCAGCTTTCAAACAGTGCCACAGATTTTGGGTGGGATAGAGATATGGATTTGACTTGGCACTTAGGACATTAACCTAACTGTGGCTTTGTGCTAGGAATCATTGTCCTGCTGAAAGGGGAAGTTTCATTCACCTTTGACTTTGATTGCCTTCTGTTGGTTTTCAGGTTTCCTAAATTCTTCGATAATGAATAGAAACAAGACCTCCACATAAACACAGCCAGTGGCACGAAAGTGTCATCACCTGCATTATCTATCCCAGCAGTCCATCCTGTAGTCCAGCCGAGAGAGAGCACAGCGTGAGTGGGAAGAGTTCTCACAGCAGAAAGGAAGGCCTGAGGTTCCAGAGGTGTGGCCTTTCCCCCAGGACCAGAGAGGATATCTGCGTTGATCCACAGTGGGCAGCTTGGCTGAGTCAGCATCTCCTCCAGAAGAACGACAGACGGAAATACCGCCTCCATGCTGTTGGAGTACACCACAGTGCTTACATCACAGACAACCACATATTATAAAGAAGGGATATAAGTAACATCTTACCTCTTAAAGTCTAGTTTTATTCCCTTGTTATACTCCTTCACTTTTTCCAGCCACTCTTTCAGTGTGATGTCACTCTCTGTGTCAGGTGGATGTGCCATGATGGGCTCTTTAGGATCCCGGCCTCTCATGACTATGTCAGCCTCAATCATATGTGTGTGACCTAGAATGGAAGTTGATGGTCAAAAAAGTTAGTGAAGAACTCTGTCAACACAAAGGTAAAATCTCTATATACTAAACAATAAATATAATGTCTAAATTCTCCCTTCATGAAGGTTCTAACGTTTACACTTTAAGGAAGCATGAATGAAACCTTATGCATATTTTGGAGGCTTTTGAATTGTATTTCAGTGCGATGAGATGTTTGTAATATTCTGTCTACCATATTGCAATCAATGTTAGTTTTGGATAGTGTTTCTAGCAAACTGGAAAACTGAGTGTTTATGGGACCAATCAAACATGATAGCTTATGTATTGGAATGCAATCAAATTCAGCCTGACAAATGACCATGGAATAAAATCTATGTATCTCTAGGAGCGCCTCAACAACAAATGGACATTACAAATTACTAGCACTTATTGGAGGACAATGGTACTCAAGTGTTATATGTAGTCCAGTAAACTTGATTAAAAGCTTTGTTGAATGTTTTCTTAATGAATATGTATGCATTATGGGTGGAGAAACTTCATTCTGTAAAAATCAAGAAAGACTGGCAAAGCATCTGAGCATGAATGAGCCATATATTTGTATTTGTAAGTGACAGCAGGATCACCTTATTAATCAATCATGTCCCAGTGAGCTTTGATAAACCTTCACACTCGGGTTAACAACTGACTCATCTGCAGATCTCCTTGATTCATAAATGAGATATTTGGTATTCTTTGAAAGAGCCCAAGGTGATGTCTTAACAACTCTTAAAGTCAAGACAGTTGAAGACGCTAAGATTTTAGATTTGCAATGGTATTAAACACAAATAACACAAAGTCACAGAAATTATTCTCAAACTTCAAGTAATCGATGAATGAACTAAGTTTCACTCACAAAATGTAGTGACAAATGACGAAAACAGCTAAGTCAGCACTACTTGGTGGCACAGCTTCATCAAAAAACGATCGTGCGGAGTTTACTTTAATGTAAAAAAACGAAAATCCACAGAATGCATTTTCATCTTTAGACGATAAAGATATAGAATGTAAAGACATCTACACACTGTGTGTAGAGTGACCCACAAGCTGTTTATACATCATAGACTATTTCAAGATATAAGCCCTTTCTCAATTGTCACATTTTCGCCTCCTCGGTCCTCCGGTAGTGACCCGGAAATTTGTGTTGAAGGACATCTAATTTCTCTAAATGCCCATCGAGGATCTAGGATGAAGCATGGAGCAGGCTCTCTGGAGGAGCTCTAACCCAGGATACACTGATGTAGAGGAGAGGAGAGAGGGGAGAGGAGAGGAGAGAGGGGAGAGGAGAGGAGAGGAGAGGAGAGGAGAGAGGAGAGGGGAGGGGAGAGAGGAGAGGAGAGGAGAGGAGAGGAGAGGAGAGAGGAGAGAGGGGAGAGGAGAGGGGAGGAGAGGAGAGGAGAGAGGAGAGGGGAGGGGAGAGAGGAGAGGAGAGGAGAGAGGAGAGGGGAGGAGAAGAGGAGAGGAGAGGAGAGAGGAGAGGGGAGGGGAGAGAGGAGAGGAGAGGAGAGGAGAGGAGAGAGGAGAGAGGAGAGAGGGGAGAGGAGAGGAGAGAGAGAAGAGGAGAGGAGAGGAGAGGAGAGGAGAGGAGAGAGGAGAGAGGAGAGAGGAGAGGGGAGGGGAGAGAGGAGAGGAGAGGAGAGGAGAGGAGAGGAGAGGAGAGAGAGGAGAGGGGAGGGGAGAGGGGAGGGGAGAGAGGGGAGGCTCTCTGGAGGAGTTCTAACCCAGGATACACTGAGTAGAGGAGAGGAGGAGAGGGGATGAGGGGAGGGAGAGGGGAGAGGAGAGGAGAGAGGAGAGAGGAGGAGGAGAGGAGAGGAGAGGAGGAGGAGAGGGAGAGGAGAGGAGAGGAGAGAGGTGAGAGGAGAGGGGAGGGGAGAGAGGGGAGGCTCTCTGGAGGAGTTCTAACCCAGGATACACTGATGTAGAGGAGAGGAGAGAGGGGAGAGGGGGAGAGGAGAGGAGAGAGGAGAGGGGAGAGGAGAGGAGAGAGGAGAGGGGAGAGGAGAGAGGAAAGGAGAGAGGAGCAGAGGAGAAAGGAGAGGAGAGAGGAAAGGAGAGAGGAGAGGGGAGAGGAGAGGTGAGAGGAGAGGGGAGAGGGAGAGGAGAGGGGAGAGGGGAGAGAGGAAAGGAGAGAGGAGGGGGAGAGAGGAGAGGGGAGAGGAAGAGGAGAGAGGAGAGGAGAGGAGAGGAGAGAGGTGAGAGGAGAGGGGAGGGGAGAGGGGAGGCTCTCTGGAGGAGCTCTAACCCAGGATACACTGATGTAGAGGAGAGGAGAGAGGGGAGAGGGGAGAGGAGAGAGGAGAGGAGAGGACGAGGAGAGGGGAGAGGAGAGGGGAGAGGAGAGGAGAGAGGAAAGGAGAGAGGAGAGGGGAGAGGAGAGAGGAGAGAGGAGAGAGGAGAGGGCAGAGAGGAGAGGTGAGAGGAGAGGGGAGAGGAGAGGGCAGAGAGGAGAGGGGAGAGGGAGAGAGGAGAGGGGAGAGGAGAGGGCAGAGAGGAAAGGAGAGAGGAGAGGGGGAGGGGGAGAGAGGGGAGGCTCTCTGGAGGAGCTCTAACCCAGGATACACTGATGTAGAGGAGAGGAGAGAGGGGAGAGGGGAGAGGAGAGAGGAGAGAGGAGAGGAGAGGAGAGGAGAGGGGAGAGAGAGGAAGAGGAGAGGAGAGAGGAGAGGAGATGCTATATGAAGGAGAGAGGAGAGGAGAGATGAGGGAGAGAGGAGAGGACGAGGAGGAGTGAGAGGAGAGGAGAGATGGAAAGGATGAGAGGAGAGGGGAGAGAGGAGAGGTGAGAGGAGAGGGGAGGAGAGGGGCAGAGAGAGAGAGGAGAGGGAAGGAGAGGCTAGAGGGAGAGGAGGAGGAGAGGGGAGGAGGAGAGAGGAGAGGGGAGGAGAGGAGAGGGGAGAGGGGAGAGGAGAGGAGAAGGAGAGAGGAAAGGAGAGAGGAGAGGGGAGAGGAGAGAGGAGAGGGGAGAGGAGAGGAGAGAGGAAAGGAGAGAGGAGAGGGGAGAGGAGAGGTAGAGAGGAGAGGGGAGAGGAGAGGAGAGGAGAGGAGAGAGGAAAGGAGAGAGGAGGGGAGGAGAGGAAAGGGGAGAGGAGAGAGGAGGCTCTCTGGAGGAGCTCTAACCCAGGATACATGATTGTAGAGGAGAGGAGAGAGGGGAGAGGGGAGAGGAGAGAGGAGAGAGGAGAGAGGAGAGGAGAGGAGAGGGGGAGAGGAGAGGGGAGAGGAGGAGAGGAGAGAGGAAAGGAGAGAGGAGAGGGGAGAGGAGAGAGGAGGAGGGGGAAGAGGAGAGGAGAGAGGAAAGGAGAGAGGAGAGGGGAGAGGAGAGGTGAGAGGAGAGGGGAGAGGAGAGGAGAGGAGAGGGGGAGAGGAGAGAGGAGAGGGGAGAGGAGAGGGAGAGAGGAAAGGAGAGAGGAGAGGGGAGGGGAGAGAGGGGAGGCTCTCTGGAGGAGCTCTAACCCAGGATACACTGATGTAGAGGAGAGGAGAGAGGGGAGAGGGGAGAGGAGAGAGGAGAGAGGAGAGGAGAGGAGAGGAGAGGGAGAGGAGAGAGGGAGAGGAGAGGAGAGGAGAGAGGAAAGGAGAGAGGAGAGGGGAGAGGAGAGAGGAGAGGGGAGAGGAGAGGAGAGAGGAAAGGAGAGAGGAGAGGGGAGAGGAGAGGGGAGAGGAGAGGGGAGGAGAGGGGAGAGGAGAGAGGAGAGGAGAGAGGAGAGGAGAGAGGAGAGGGGAGAGGAGAGAGGAGAGGGGAGGAGAGGAGAGGGGAGAGGGGAGAGGAGAGAGGGGAGAGGAGAGGAGAGAGGAAAGGAGAGAGGAGAGGGGAGAGGAGAGAGGAGAGAGGAGAGGGAGAGGAGAGGAGAGAGGAAGGAGAGAGGAGAGGGGAGAGGAGAGGTGAGAGGAGAGGGAGAGGAAGGAGAGAGGAAGGAGAGAGGAGGGGAGAGAGGAGAGGGGAGAGGAGAGAGGAGGCTCTCTGGAGGAGCTCTAACCCAGGATACACTGATGTAGAGGAGAGAGGAGGTGTAGGTGTGTGATTGTGGTAGATTCGGCGGACAGACAGGTCTCAGTTGGTTTGGTGTCCTCTGCTTACTTTTAATAATTGTAAATAAAACGTTTGGCCCGTCATTTGATTTCCCCATTTCAGCGACCAGAGAGACGGGGGGGATATATCCAGTCTCTGATAGTGTCACGTTATTATGAGAGTGCTCTCATACTTGTTTGATTGTGAAATCTGAGGTTGTGAAAAAAAATAACAGTGAGGACATGCACATACACGTGTGTATATATATATATATATATATATATATATATATATATATATATATACGTGTATGTGTCTGCATCTGTAGCCTGTTATTGTCTCATTATACCGCACTGTGAATGAATCAAAGTAAATATATAAGTCGTCATGAACACATCTGTCCATCAGACAGAGGGCTGCTGTGCCTCCTGTCATCATTAATGGACGTCTCTTTAAAATGACCGCTCAGAGGAGAGGAGTTCTCATTTCTCTAACCACCTGCTGCTTCCCCTCCTCTTTCCTCGGCTCCCCTCCTCGGCTCCTCCGCTCGCATCTCCTGCGGGAGGGACTAAGTATCGAGGATAGGAGTCGAAGGCCCAATTCCAATAAACCCCCTACACCCTACCCCTCCGTTTGCGCGGAGAGTCCGCCACATTAAGTGCTGTTCCAAACCAACGAGTGTGGAGGGGGAGTGGGTTATCAAGCCCTCCAACAGCGAGTCTGCATCGCACCTGACTTCACCTGCTGCCCTACCTGACCGGACTCAACGCTGTGTGTGTCCGTCAGGAAACACGCTGTTTACAAACAGTTCCTGCAAACATTCACTGATAAATTGCGATGCTAACAACCGCATGATAACCTCATATGTTCTTTACTTAGGATCAGACCTGTGTTTAGTCATCATACCTAGGCTATGCATTTTATTATAAAGTTGTGTATATTTACAGACTGTTGCAAAAACTAAGAAGCTTATAAACATCATGTTTAAAACAAAAGAGCTTTACAAAAAAGCAACACAATTGAAGATGTTTGGAGTTTTATTTTAGTTATTAATTTTTTTATTTAATTTTGTCCAAGATATGCTGATTTGAACCCGTTGTTACATACAGTTATGTCATTTCCTGTTTCTGATGGAGAGAGGGGAGTTTGTTCCAAAGCTTGCCTCTGTAAGCTTGCAAGTGTCACTACGACACGGAGTTCAGTCACGGAGTGGGTAGGGTGTCATTTGGAATTGGGCCGAAGAGAGGAGTCGAGGAGGGGGAAATTCGAATTGAGAAAGGAAAGGGCTATAGAATGAAAAGACATCTACACAGTACACACTGTATACACCCACCTGTGAGAGCCTCCGTCAGCCTGCTCCTGCTGTTGACAGCGTGCGACCATCTTACCTCGGCAGCGTTCCTCTTCGTTATTTCTCTCCGGCTCCAGAAATACTCTAGCGTCTGCTCAGACATTCTCTTTACGAAAAAAAAACTTGTAATGTCGCCGCCTTATTAGTGCACTAACAGTATGATTTGCGTAAACGTGCAGGTGTGTATGATGGCAGTGTAATGTAAGCCAGATAGATTGCTATGAAAGCGCAATTAAAGGAAACGTTCACTCACTATCTTTACCATTAACATGTCATACAACGTACACTGTAAAACAGCGGTTTAAAACTATCGTGGTAGCCTACTACTCAAGTTAGAGAAAATAGTCCTCTCTTAATGTCACAACTGCTCTTCTTCTTCTTCTTCTTCTTCTTCTTCTTCTTCTTCTTCTTCTTCTTCTTCTTCTTCTTCTTCTTCTTCTTCTTCTTCTTCTTCTGGTGTTATGTGGCAGCCAGCGTTAAAGGGAGAAAGGTGCATTACCGCCACCCAGTGGCACAGCCACTAGTGTCAGCAGAAAGTATTAAAAATAATAATTACAAAAAAATGGGGGGGAAATGTTTTTATATTTTAAGATCATGTTTAATCATCTGACTCGTCTGTACATTGCTGTTTTAGTCTGTGTTCTTCTAATTAGTGTCTACAGTGTGTGCCTATTGAGCTGTTTAGAGCCATGTGGGACAAAACCCGATCATGCCCCTCCCTCTCACTGTTTAAGGTGAGACACCCCAGGTGAATAGGGTAATTTTTTTAACTTAAAGGTATCAGCTAGAAATTTCTCCAGTTAATTACTTACAATAAGGCAATTGTCTTTTGTATTACAAGTTTTCTGAAATAGCATGTTTAAATATGCAAATGATCCATTATCTCATTAAATATGCACATATTTTAACACATTTCAGGAATCGAAATCTGAACTTTGGATATAGCCAGATTCAAAATTATTGTTTCATTTTGTAGTCATATTAGTATCTAAGGCTTTTACAGAAGGGATATTGGATATCTCTTTTTATCACTCCATAAATCAGAAAATACTGTCAACAGCCCTAAAATATCCATTTTCGCCATGTTTTTAGGTATATAATGTTGTATAATTCAGGCTATGAATGATATATGGCCAAACCCTTCTGTAAAAGCCTTCATAATATTGATAGGAATATAACTGGAAGGTTTGGTGTATGTACGTGCTACTGAAGTTGAAATTTCGAACTCAGAGTAGGAGAAAAAACTCATTTTGAGAAAACGACCTTTAAAGATTGCAGTGAGACGCTAGGTAAACCCTCCTGTTCTTTGGATGACAGCTTGCGCATCGACGCACTCCGTGAAGGTATTTCATGTTCAGGGTCATTTCTTTTTTTATAACCTTGCTTCGTGCAAGTGACAATTGTTGTCGTCTTCTCTGTGAACGTTTTTTTCGCCGTTCTTTTTGCATTTTGAGATTTCAATTTCTAGCTGAAAGCTAACCAGGAAGTGTTTTAGCACACCACGTGACGCATCTGAACGAATCACGTTGTCATAAATTGACACCAGCCAATGAGATTTCGTTTCTTGGTTTAAGACCCCTTTGTGCTTTCACGATTGGTTGCTGATATAAAGGAAATGACCATATTTGGATCCGATGAGATTGTGCAGGAGAGACACAGCTTTCCAGCGATACCTCTGTTGACATGGTGCACACAGCGGTCGCGGTACTTTATGTTACGTTAGAATGCTAACTTTTGGTGAATTTAGGAGAAATCTACAGACGCAAATAGACAAACTATAGTAAAATAAACACTTAAATGTGTATTTTGTACGTTTTCCTTCCAAAACCCTGAAAGAAAACATGTTATGGAATCAAAATAGCACAAAATCTCAAAATTGACCTGTACTTGAAAAACGATGTTTTTGCCTGCCGTGTCTCGCCTTAAGTGAATGGTGACTGTAAAAACGACACTGCGCATGCTCAAAGTATTTTCCTATTTAATGTGTGTGGCAAAAAAATAATGACCATAGGGGCAGTGGGCTGCCATCCCCACCATACGTCATCTCACATAATTCAGAATTGATTGGCTGTAAGTACGTCACGTGTGCAGTGCTGCAAAACGTCACGTGTAGTTTGAAGAGGAGACGAGAGAGCAGCATATAGCTAACATCACCAGCGATTAAAAGAAGTAAAAAACGAGAGCGTGTAAAACCTGATTGAGCAAGTTTGCAGAAAAAAAATCTGAGCTTGTGTGCATACATTTACACTTGTATAACATATCCACGTAACTGTGAACCAAATGTACACTTGTAAAAAATATCCACGTAACTGTGAACCAAATTTGAAGTCACAGAAGGAAAAACAAAGTGTTGTAGCTTGTAGAAAAAAATTCACTTAGTGATGAAATGTTCACTTGCAGAAAGATACATTTTTTTTAAAATATATTTTCCTTTACAACTGCAACTTGGTTATTACAACCTCTCAAATCAGTCATTACAACTTGACGAATCTGCTCTGTGGCAGTATAAATAGACGAATCTGCGGTCTTGACTTTTGCTACACTTCTTGCGATAAATGTGTCGCAAAAGTAATTTTCACCTGTAGGTGTGGGGGGAGGGAGGGGGGTTGGAGCGAAGGGGCGGAGCTATCAGAACGACGAGGCTCGGGTCAGTCACACTGGCTGCTTCTCAGGTCGACTATTTTCATTTCCTCGCTCCTTGGTCCTCGGTCTCACCGGAAGTTGATTTGCCTGCGCCATCTTGAGTACCGTCCCATGCATAGATATATAGTGTTTATATATATATCTATGGTCCCATGGCTCTTATTTCTGCCGGAGGACCGAGGAGCGAGGAGCGAGGAGCGATAATGGAGGAGCGATAACCGAGGAACCACCAGACCATCCTCCGATGAAATCCTCAGATACTCGCCCCGCCCCCTTACTGTGTATCGCTCACTGATTGGACGATGCAGCGCATGCACTGATCTGATGCTTCTTGACATGAGAGCAGTTTCCCAGCGGAGTGAAGAAAACACATGAACCTCACGGGAGTCACTCCTCAGTTTATACCGTGTTTTGTTTCAATTAATGTTTCATTTAGTTACAAATATGTGATCTTCACATTTCTCCCTGCAGAAAAAAAAAACATGGCCGAACTTCGTTTTATTCTCGGTGGAAAATGCCTATTTTAAAGTTAGTTTGGCCATTAAAATGCGTTTTGATGTCATTTTTTATGCGAGAAATATGAGTTGTTATTTCAGATTATGTGTGCAGTGGATGTACATGATCTTTAGTTTGCTAGTTATTACGAAGATTACTTCAGGAAATTGTGTCGATACAACGTTTTCATTGTTACCAAGGTGGTTGCTAGGGATGCTGCTATCGATATTATTTCTGTTATGTTGTGTAACAGTTTAATGGTGTAATCTTTATTGCTACCCCCTTCCCCGTCAATGTATAGTGTTGGTCCACAGCACAAACGTATTAGTTTAACAAAATCTGCATCTAAAATTGTGGCATAGATACGTTATTTTCCCCTGTGCAATTCCAGTCTCACATCTCACATCACATCGTCATAAACAAATACCGGAAACAGACCGAAAACACTTTATTCCGAGTATGCTTGCTTTTCTCTTTGAAAGTCATCACATAACGGCATTGTAATACACGGTTCGGCTGCATTAAATATTACATATCTGCCGTAGTTCTCTATTTATAGAGCCCTGATGAGAAGACTTCTAGACAAACATGAGGAACTGCAGCCAACACTGAAAACGTGACGTGGATCATAAATATATCAGCCATTAAACAACATCTTACATTTCTTTTCACACAATACGTCTCCTTGCAGTATCAACACTAATTCGGCTGACTTTTATATTTGATCCAATTGGTAGATAGGCTGTATTTACACCATAAAGGTGCACAGCTGATATAAAGGGACACCTAGTGGTTAAAGCATGTTATTGAATTTCATTATTTTTATTATTAGATATTAATAGGATCCCTATAAAGTATATTCATTACTCGTTATTCTCTACTAATAGTTAATTAAAGACTGTATATAATGACTATTTTGCACATCCCTTTCAAGATTTCAAGATTTTCTAAGGTTTATTGACATATTATACACAAACGGTGTAGTTATGCATTGAATGAAAAACTTTGTGTATACCTCCAGCAATGTTAACTATGTTGAAGCACTTATTTTAACCGATATTATACATGTGTATTATACTCTTATATAAGATGTATGTAGATATTTCATCTCCGGCCTTGTCAGGTATTGAACAATCAATAAATAAAGAACACAGAATTATTAAATATAAAACACAGAATTTGTGTGATTATACTAAATGATTTACAAATAAACACCACTGCATATTTACAACTCTTACACATGCTGATGTAACGCAAATGTTCCAACTTGGGATCAATAAAGTATATCTTATCTTAAGATGATCGATGGCTACTGCCATATTTGCAAAATTTGCCTCTGAACCTTGACAAGTGCATGTTTCAGGCTTATCAATGAACAACAGGAGGGGTCACAGACATAAGACCAGCTGTTAAATAAAGCTCTTCTGACCTTAGCTGGCATGTGGGTAATGCTGCCCATTATGGGCACAAGCAATTTTCACCCATTTATTAATTATATGTTTTACATTTGAGTGTTTCCTATCCCCTAAACCTCCAGGGATGTACACAGTTTAATACTGGCCACTTCTTATTATGGGAAATACAAAAACGTCTTTTAAAACTACAACTCCCAGAGGAGTGCCATAGAGCATGTTGCAAAACACACAATAGCCAGCATGTGTAGTTCTGGGGACGGGGTGGACCCGTTCAAATCCAGTTTTGGACAGTCTGCCGTGGTTCCATCCCATTTCAAGTGCTGTTCGACGCTCGGCACACTCTCCAATCACAGAGCTTGAGGACTATCACGGGGTTTGTCAAGCGAAGCGGAGAGAATACTTACTTCCGGGTGTAATATTCTCTAAAGCAAATGAGCTGCTCCGACCCTCGACCTGACGGACTCTTGTGTTTATTAATCAAACAAATAAACACAAGGATAATTATGTGTTATTGTTGAGTAAATGGAGAATTGCACAGGGGAACATAACGTAGATCTATGCCACAATTTTAGATGCGGATTTTGTTAAACTAATATGTTTGCGCTGTGGACCAACACTATATATTGACGGGGAAGGGGGGTAGCAATAAAGATAACACCATTAAACAGTTACACAACATAACAGAAATAATATCGATAGCAGCGTCCCTAGCAACCACCTTGGTAACAATGAAAACGTTGTATCGACACAATTTCCTGAAGTAATCTTCGTAATAACTAGCAAACTAAAGAACATGTACATCCACTGCACACATAATCTGAAATAACAACTCATATTTCTCGCATCAAATTACATCAAAAGGAATTTTAATGGCCAAACTAACTTTCAAATAGCCA